CTTACGTGCGTGTCTACAGCTAAAGCGATACAGGCACTGATTGCAAATGAGAGGCGACAAGTCTGAGAGTCAGAGGCATGGCAACGGGCCGGAGACAACTTAAGCGCCCCAGACGCCAGTGTGTGCGTATTACAGCTCCCCTTACTCGGCGCCAAAAAGACGGCATACAGATGACACGGAAGCGACTATTGGCGCAACACCCACTGCAGTGCAAAACGTGGTACATAAACGTGATGGTAGTCTACTTGGCTCATCTCAGCCTTGCCGAGAAGCTGATGTTCACCGCCAATATAAGCGAGCGCACAAATATGCATAGACAGACGTATAGATGGACACTTAGATGTGTAATAGATAAGTAATAGGTGCATGGACCCCACAACAGCCAGACCTGCCCACTTCGGGAAAGGGTTGTGAGGAGGCCTAAATAACCTCATATTACACCCCAGGGGGGAAAAGACTCATCCTCTCTAGAAAAGCTCGTCCCATAAGGCCCACCTGAGCAGGGCTTCCTCTCCCGCATCCCTCGTCATGCACAGCATACGGACGTGATGTGTGACGACCGTAGATACCCAGCGGATGGTGAGTCTAAATCCCTACTCGGAATGCAGGGTCGCATACTATTTCGCGCAATTTATGGATTATGGAATTATTGGGATGGTGAGTTAACACAGACTCTTAGTGCTCATAAGTAAGTCTACATAAGCATACATACACACTTACTGAGATGTTAGTTGCTCTGAAAGCCGGATAACTGATGTGTTGAGCTTAGCGGTAATATTATACAATTTTTGCATAAACATCAAGCCGCAAATTTGGAGTTCTGTGGCAACGAAAGGGGAAATATTGAAGAGGGATTGAAATGAAATGTTTATTTTGCAGCCAATTTTTTGTTGACTTTACTTGTTGAAAGTGAATTCTCGTCCAGGCTGCGTCATCGCTTCCAGCAAGGCACGAACTAGGTTTTTGCATCTACAGGGTCGCGTGTGTGACACACCCAAAATAGCTCAATCTACTGCCGTCAACACTTTGGCTGGCTGGGTATACTGTCTGTAAAGTTATGTGGCAAAACTGGGCTTCGAAGATGGTCTGGATAAGTTAATGTCAATTGAACTGCCATTCAGAAGGACAAGTCGAGTGGAAGGGATTTTGGTGAATATTTTCCAATCACTCATTTCACGCTCCGGCAATGTCCAGCATATTGTTTTGGTGGAACATTTTCAGATGAATAGATCTGTAGGTCGATTTCAGCCGTCGTTCGGTGCTACTATCGCGCCTAGGCTAACGCAGTCCACAAAGCCGCTCTTTCGGCCTTCGATGCTATTCGACAGACATGTTCAGAAATCCAAGCTAACAGTAAATCAAGACGCCCTATCGGCTCAATTTGACACTCTAAAGGAGAATTGAAATGGGTACTTTTACGGTTGACCTGTAGACTTAACATTTGTGCTTGTTTGTGTAGGGATGTGTGTGTATTTTCACATTTGTTCTTGTGGAAAATTATGTGTGAAGCCAGCAGTCATTACTCTGATTGAATGCAACAGAGCGTAACGTCAGTATAGGATCATCCACCTGATCGGCAAAGCAAAATCGAGCGACTACAAGGCTCGACTTACGAATCTCTTTACTACACACACTTTCACATGAAGTTAATACATACACGGCAAAAATGGTATTTCAGGGGGTTCCTCTGAACGTCGTATCTACTTGGTCCGTCAAAGCTCAAAAGGCAGACAAAATGTCCCGATAATGGTGAGGCTCATCTCGACAAGTACAGCTCCATAGTTCACTTTCCTCAGGTTTTTGTTAGGCCAAGATACCGATCATCTTTCGCCAACTTTTCACACACTTGCGCTATTGGACTTAAATTCCAAGTCATAATGGACTTAGCCCTCATTACCCTTCAACAATGATTCCATTTGTCTTATTGCCATCTGATAGCATATGCTGTTACAGACATCTGCTAATCTTCTGCCGTACAGACAGTCCGTGTGCCATATCATAACAATTATTTTATCTTAACGTGAGGTTACATTCCCTGAAAAAAATCGCTTGCTCATCCGGACACCTCTCATGAGTTAGTGTCTCACGAAGAGAAATTGATAAATTATTGATGCTGTCATACCTTCCATTTCGTTTGAAATGGCTCGTGGAAGGAGTTCGGATACCGAAGGAGGACTGTTTTGGATTTGTGATTGTTGTATTGTGCAAAGGAGCTATCAATTCACTGTCCTGCGACTGATGAGTCCGTGCTGAGCTTACGTCTGATGCGTCACAGGCATCGTCATTTACGAACAATCATCAAA